AATATCCCAGCTACATCTTATTGAACTGTACTATTAGGTTTTAAGATGGGGCTGGGGATTTAGCTCAGTGGTGCCACCACCTGCCTCAAAAGCACAAGGTCCTGAGTTCAATCCCCAGCATCAAAAAAAAAAAAGTTTTAAAATGATAAATTTTATCTGTATTTTACCACAATTAAAAATCATTTACAAATTATGTAAGAGGGGCCGGGAATTTAGCTGAGTGGTTTTGCCGCCTGCTGCGCAATCGCAAGGACCAGAGTTTGATCCCCAGTACCAAAAATAAATAAATAAAAATTATGTAAGAAAGTAAAGAAACCTAGGGTATACAAGTCACTGTCATCAAAATAAGTGGTGTAAGTATTCATTTTCAAGGAAAAACTCACAGAAACCTAGTCTTAACAGTAATTAAAAACCAACTAGAGCAAATATAAATAACAAAACATTAGAAGGGGACTATGGTCAGAAAACTTAGTAAAATGTTAACAAAAAGAAAAAAATTGCAATCTGTCTTTTTGGTGCTCAAAAGTTTACATCTCTCTGCCGGGGATGTAGCTCAGTGGCACTGTGACTGCTGGGCACCAAGCCCAAGGTCCTGAGTTCAATTCCTGGTACCGGAAAATAAAAGTTTATATTTATATAATCTCATATGAAGAGCACACATTACTGTCTCAAACTTAACAGAATTTGTTTTCAAAGAACTTAAATCAGTTCAGTTTTGTTTTGTTTTTATACAAAAGACTGAATGCAGGGCATTCTAAATGGCTACATCCCCAGTCCCTTATTTTTTTTTAAATTTTCAGACAGGGTGTTGGTAATTAGCCCAGAGTAGGCTCCAACTTGTGATACTCCTCTGCCTCAGCTTCCCTCTTGGAGCTCTGGGTTCACAAGCAGGCACCACTACTCCCAGCAAGCCAGGTCATCATGTTTGATAACTGTGACTTGCCCAAACTTTACCTGGTCCCAAAGGCAGACATTATATCTCCTTCAGAACACAGATGACAAAAAATAAAAAATACCACCACGCACAAGCCCACAATTAGCTACTGAAATCAACATAGGCACCAGGCTGCTGCACGAATGACAAGGTTAAAAAGAGTTACAAGCTGGGTGCAATGGCGTGTGCTTGTAGTCCCAGCTACTTGGGAGGACAAGCCAGGAGGATAGCAAATTTGAGGATAGCCTAGGCAAGTTAGTGAGACCCTGTCTCAAAATTTGAAAAGCAGGACGTGGTTCAGTGGTACAGTGATTACAACACTGGCGAAGCCTTGGGTGTAATCCCCAGTACAAAAAAAATCTATTAGCTATATAATCTCAGGCAAGTTTAAATTCCCTGCATTGTCACGGGGCATGGTGGTGCACACCTGTAATCTCAGCAGTTGGGCTTCTGAGGCAGGAGGATCACCATGAGTTAGAGTCCAGCATGGGCTACACAGTGAGTTTAAAGCCAGCCTGAACTACATAGTGAGACCCTGTCTCAAAAAACCAAAGAAAGAAAAAAAAAACCTCCCTATGCTTTAATTTCCTTACATCTAAAATGGAATGAAAATATTTCAAAGAGATACTGTGAAGATCTAAACAATAAACATCATACATGTGTGTATATCCTTATTATATTAATAATAGTTATCATTACTATTATGTAGCTCAATGCTTCCACTTTTAAACTAATTTAGCCAGGGCCTCTTCAGAAAAACATATGCTCAAGCATTTTTTGTTTTGTTTTTTTGAGATGTGGTCTGGCTATGTAGTTTAGGCTGGCCTCGAACTCACTATGTAGCCCAAGCTGGCCTTAAATAGGCAGTTGATCATGCTGCCTCAGCCTTCCAAATGCTGGGATTGTGGGCGTGCAGCACCACCGCCCCGCAGAGTGAATGATTTTGACAGCAACTGCTAAGGAGTCACAGGTCCCAGATAAACCTTGCCAAAGATGATCCATGAACACCTTGGTTTAGTAAAGTGGCTCTTAATCTCTTTTGTGCTACAAATCTCTTTAGTCCAATTAACCTATGGATAATATTCTCCAAAATGTTTTACAATACTATGTGGAACCTATAGGACTACAAAGTAAACAATCACATAAAAATTATGAGGACCAGGCATGTAGCTCAGCGGCACAGTACCTGCCTGGCAAGCACAAGGCTGGCCCTGAGTTCGATTTCCAGTACCAAGAAAAAAAGTTATCAAAATATTTTAAAATCTCTAGTATGGTAATAAATGTGCTTTATATGCATTTCAGATTTTAAAACATGTAACACTAAACAACATAAATGATATTTCAAGATATCTGCAAACTTTGAAATTTAATATTAAAATAAGTGATTTCTCTTGGTGACAAAGTCACAGACCCTTTTAACTCCACTGAAATTTAAAGAATCCTCAAATCTTTTCCATCTAGAGTCTAGTCAGAAGCTACAGAAAATAGGCAAAACTTTTGTCCTCAACCAAACTCAGGTACCTCTTCAACTCTGCCAAGGAGATTGATGAAGAATCTGTGCCTTAGGGGAAAGTGGAAAAAAATAAGTTTTGGAGCCAGAGACTTGGGTCCTAAAAGCCAGGCTTCAGACTTTAGTCCCCACATTATTTACACTTCAATGACTTTAAACATTTAACTTCTGAGCTTTGCTTCCCTCATTTAAAATAATTCTTATATCATGAGATCAAAGAATTAAATATTAGTTAACAAAATGATTAATGACCAATGTGTTGTTTCTGACTTTAAATATTGTATATTCAGCCCCAAATATTTAATGACACTGTTAACTTTTAATAAAATTCATGAGAAAAAGAACAACATACTGATTCAAAAAGAAATGATTAATGGAATACTAATTTTAAAGAAAAGTTTACTCAGCCCTAGTTTGACATCAGAATGACCAGGATCTAAATCCCAGTCCTACTGACTTATATTGTTACTTAACCTTTGGGCCTTAGTTTCCTCATCTGTAAAATGATGCATGTTGATTTGAGAACAGGGTACTGCTTAAACACTCAATAAAGGCACCTATTACTAAAATTCTATTAGTAAAGCCCAAGGAATCAACTTGAAACTCAAAATTTATTTTGGAATTCATGTTGACATAATTGGAACTTCACAACCTTTTCTTTTGCCTGGCAAACACACTTGCACATGGGTACTGTGCCTGCCTCAAAAGCACAAGGTCCTGAGTTCATCCCCAGTACCAAAACAAAACAAAAAAACACACTCTTGCACTTAAAACCTGTAGTATTTGCATGACATAACATTCCTAACACAAATTAGCCTTACTCAAAAGTCAAATTTCATTTCTTAATTCTGCAGAAGGAAAACAACAATGTGGATTTTAAAAATGATTAACAGAAAGAATGGGTTCATTTCTTTTTTGAGGCAGAGTCTCACGATGTAGTTTAGGCTGGCCCTGAACTCACTATGTAGCCCAGGCTGGCCTCCAACTCAGGATAATCCTCATGCCTCAGCCTCCCAAATGCTGGGATTACAGGTGTGCACCACCATCACCACCTATGGAGTTAGGCAATTTAACACCTTTTAATCATTTTCTTGGAATATTCTAATGAATGCTTATTATTAATGTCGGATATGCTCTAAGGTAGCTTTTTAAAGCCTAATTTAAAGATCTCAAATTTACAAACCACAAGATATCAGATTAAGGTTAAAAAAATTTAGCCGTGGGGCCGGGGATTTAACTCAGTGGCAACCAGTCTTCCTGCAAGCTCAAGGTCCTGAGTTCAATCCCCGATACGGGGGGGGGGGGGATTAAGCCGAGTGTGGTGGCGCTTCCCTGATAATCCCCGCATTTAAGAGACAGAGGTAGGATTGCTGTTTGAGGCCAGCCTGAACTGTATAGTGAGACTGTCTCAAACTCCTCCACCCAAAAAGAGTACCAAAAAAAAGTTAAATCACTTATTTACTTTCTGCCCGTGTACCACCACCCCTCATTGAAAAAGATTCTTTTTACGGACATAGTTAATAAATACCAAGTAGCAAAGTTGCAGCTTTGCTGGTTTCACGTTTTCACAATGTAAGAATAATATGATCTGGAATCTACTTCAAAGCTTTAGCCAGGCAGTCAGGTGATGCTCACTGCTCACAACAGAAGGACAGAAATTAGAGAAAATTAAGCTTGCTATTTCCGTAAGGCAGGTATCATCACTGCCTTGAAACCTAAAATAGGCCAGCGGCCGACGCTGCAGTTAAAAGTATTAAAAATACTTCTATTGTTCAAATAACAGTACAAAAAAGAAAAAACCCGGCTTTTCCCGGACTACGTTTCTCTTAGTCCTGGAATTTTTCTTGTAAAGAGCTTTTTAAACGGTTCGCAGAACCAACCCGCATCACGCAGCCGCTCCCCGAGTAACTTTTACAAAAGGTCAAAGCGGTGCCTTTCAAGGCTCCAACCCCTATTGGCTTCTCCTGCGTTCACAGTAAACTCGCTCTCACCCACAGAACGTTCCAGAGATCCACGGACAAGAACAGAACAAAATCTGGTGGAGGTTACAAAAGATTTCCACTTTCTTTACAAAAATACTTAACAAACAAACAAAAAAGGCACTTAAGCCGCCTTTCATCTACTCCCTCCGCGGTCCCACATGTTGCTCCTCTCTCTCCCAGAGCCCCGCGAGGCCTCGCTTCACCCCAGAACGCGCCCACCTGATTCCCCCTTTTCTCCCGCAGACTCCGCCCCCGGCCCCCCTCCCGCCTGCCGCCTGCAGGAGGTCCATATGGGACACTTTTCCGGTCCCTCGGCTCCTCAAGCCACAACAGACCAGCCCTCGATAGACCACCTTCCAGGTTCCCTCTGCTCGGGTTTCACCCCCACAGCTTCCTAAAGTGTTGGGAGCGCGCAGCGTGGAGCCGCAGGCCTTTATGGCCCAGGTGCTGTGTCAGCCTATCTGCCGGTTCCGCGGCGTGTACGGCCTGGAAAGTCACATGGCGGTGGGACCGGCCGGCGCCTCCACACCCCGTCTCTCTCCAAGAGCAGGACCAGATTACCAAATCTACTCACCTCCACGAAAAGCAACATGTTTTCCTCCGCTCGGCTCAATCGTTCTCGACACCGCGACTCCAACTGGTTCACAGGCCTGAGCCCGAATCGCTAGGATAAGGACACTCGCCTCGCCCCTCCACCCGGCAGCGGACTGGGCTCCTCCCCTGCCGTCAGCCGCTGCGGCCTGACCCACCTAGTCCCGCCTCCCTTGAAACAGTAACTGCTTCCGGGTCTAGGGAAAAATTACTTCCGGGAGAGGAAGAAGCCCAAGGCGCGCTCATCTTTGGCACTAGGTTTTCCAGGGGGCGGTGTGGAGTATACCATTGTGTGCCAGAAGTGGGAAAAGACACTCAGAAGGAGGTACCATTCTGCACCACGGGATTGTGTAAGAAATCTTACTGACGCAATTTATCATTTGCCAGACTGGTGGTCACCACCGCCCTAATCATTCCGCGGTTTTAATAGTTCCAAATGTAGATCTGAATAAAAGCCAATCTCTGCACAATATACTGAAGCGTTTGCCCAACCCTATAAACGTGGTGGCTCGCAGAACAAAACAGTACAGGAATAAAAAAGCTGTATGAATGGTAAAAATGATAGTACCGCTACTGTGTTGGCACTAAGCTTTTTGCGTGAATTAATCTTCAAACAATCCCATGCAAAAATACTATTATCCCCATTTTACAGTCAAGGGAGCCCGTTAGCCTGACGGGTTTTAGACACACCTTTAAAGAACTTTGCCCCACGCTTGCTCGAAACAGGTCTTCACTCCACGTCTACGTTTAATATGTTAATAATATTTAGTCTAGATAGCCGCTTCATTGATGTTCTCCCATATTCAAATGAGATACAATAAAAATTACCATAGTTCAGATGCTCATCTTTGGAAATTATGTTCAATCTTTTCCAACGGGTATTTTTCCATTCTTTTTTTTTTTTAACCTTTCTAAAAAGAAACTTTCATTTTCAGCAAACCGCAGTTACTTGTTTTCAAGACCTTCCCATTCTGACCGCATGTAGTCTTCCTTGCTTTAGCTCAGAGGAAACTCCTCAGGTTCTCACTTGGGTACCAAATTCATCCCACCATCAAATTGCTGATATGGGTATCCCAGACCCTCCCTCAACTGATCCCCAGTACACTCCCATTACTTTGTCTCAATGATTAAACCAATCTCACTCCCTATGACACATATTCCTAAGTACTCACCTCTAAAGCCATGGCTTCCAGATATCTTTCCTATCTGAGGTGCCTTCATTTGTTAGTCAACCATTTCTCTCCATAAAGTTTTCCCAACAAAGATTTGTTCCCAAAGATCTCTTCATGTCCCTTGTTAGCACTTTATATATTTCAATTTATTTTCAGTTTCTTTGAGAAATCCTATTTTGTATTCTTCTTGGTTTAGGATAATGATAACTGCATAATAGTTTCACAATGAAGACTGGTCGAATTCAGTGGTTAGCAGGATTTTAAAATTTGCTTTAAAACGCTTTCATTTCCAGTTGCTGATGAATTCCATGCTGCATGAAAAATACAAGCAAATAATTTAAATAGTAAATAAAAACTAAAACAAAAAAATACAAGTGAGAGAGCAATAGTGCTAAATTAGTTTAGTCAGTAAGCATTTAGGCTGTTTTGTGAATGGATAAGCAATGAAAGAAATAAAACATTCAGTACGTAAGACCTTCATAATTTAATGGTATCAACAAAGTACTTAAATAGGTGAATTGATAATGCTGAGAAGTGCTATATAATAATGGCTATTTTAATCAGGCCTCCTATTTATAAAAATAAATAATTCTCCTTAATTGTGCAGTTATTTGTTTTTTGGTTTCTTTTGCAGTACAAGGATTGAATTTAAGACCTCAGGACCTTGCACTTGTGAAGCAGGAGCAGCACCACTGAGCTAAATCCTTGGCCCAAGTTTTTTGTTTTTTTGAGACAAGGTCTTGCTATGTAGTTCAGGCTGGTGTTGAACTCACTGTGCAGCCCAGGCTGGCCTTGAACTCCCTGTGATCCTCCTGCCTCAGCCTCCTAAGTAGTGGGCCTATAGGCATGCACCGCCACACCTGTAATGTGAGTCCTTTCAAGAAAACATGAACTTCATACAGTAAATAGACTTGTCATTTATAGGAGAGGGTTATAGGTGGTTTTTTATAAGAAAAGTGGGAGGAAAAAAAAAGAAAAGAAAAGCAGGAGTTGGGGGTGAGGTTGGTTTAAAAGTCAAAGCAAAACATGTGGGGCTTAGAAAAGTTTCCATAGGGCCGGGGATTTAGCTCAGTGGTTTCGCTGCCTGCTGCGCAAGCGCAAGGACCTGAGTTCGATCCCTGGTACCAAAAAAAAAAAAAGAAAAGTTTCCATAAAGAGAGAGCGATTCTGAAACTAACAATCGATCTTCACATTGTAGTCAGTTTCTCTGAAAGCATTGATGAAGAATAAGCTAATGTGTGAAAAACAAAAATGTAGTATAGCATCTGGTCTTGAGAAGTTCACCAGTGGACAGAGATAAGTAATTGTTATACTTCAATGAGATAACTGCTGTAATAGAAGGTTTGCAACTTGGAAATATAGAGGGAATTAGACAATGACATTTTAAAGGGAAGGACTCATCATAGAACTAATACTACAGTCAGTTTACAAAGACTCAAAATGGGTGTGGTGGTGAATGTCTGTGATCCCAGCACTGGGGAAGCTGGGGCAGGAGGATCACCAGGAGTTTGAGGCCAGCCTGCACTACAAAGTGAGATCCTGTCTCAAAAAAAATCCCAAAGACTCAACATAGAAAGTTTTTGTAAAAATATTGTTATACATTCACAATTTGTATAAAATTTGAAAGCTATAAAATGATACCATATATGCCGTCTGCCTCGCAAGCGCAAGGTCCCAAGTTCGATCCCCGGTACCAAAAAAAAAAAA